TCAGATCAAGGAATTGTGTCATTACAGCTGTGTCCGGTATGTATTATGGATTGAAATCCATTCTGATTAGGTGTGGGTGTTCTGTTTTGATAGAAGTGCTGAACAGTACCAATTTCACATTTTTGCAAGTGCAAATGCTTGTATGTGCAAATTAAGTTTTTGTGTTCTCTAGTAAAAGCTTTACAAATTTTGCAGGCACAATTAATGGATCTCTTAAAAATCTCTTAAAAATTTTTTTCTCAGCAGGAGAACTCTGTTACCGAGTTCTAAAATAGGTACCTTTATTTAAAACTCCTACATGCTTAAAACATAGTCAAATGGTTTCAGAAGTCAGTGTACAAATTTTGTGAGGCCACTAATCAAATTAACATGATGGCGTGCAAAAAAATCAGCACATATAAAAGTTTATTGGATGTAATCAGTTAATTGATTAAAAAGACATAGCAAAATAATTTAGTAATTAGAGCATCATGTATAATCTGTGCAACATCATGTTAAAATCTTTCAAAATGATTAAATAGAAGCCAGTAAAAACCCCTGAAAATTAGGTGAAATGGATGGATTGATTATGCATTTTTTGGAAAATTAGTTCTCCTACTATTGCTCAAAAAATGTGTCAATAGAAAGAAGATCAGAAAAAATTGTTTTTTCTCTTTGAAAAAAATAACCTAATGAAAAAACTTTTGTGCTTGCTCAAAATAATGAAGAAGGTTGTGATTCTTTAAAGAAAAAGTTTTGTTACTTAAAAATGGTGAGTGAAAACATTTCCATATACCGAAAAAGAAATGTTCCAGGGGAAGTTTTGTCTTGACATACTAAATTTTGTTTTCTTATTGGCCCTGGCCACTTTCTTTGTACATGTCCCTGAAACATGTATATTGCCCTCAGTGCTTCCTAGAAGCCAAAAACCAGCCAGTGTTACTGATTCCATAACCTCTGGCAATCATAAAGAACTGTGGAGGAGGAAAGTTCTTTGACAGCTCTTCATAGAAAGACAATGAGAAATATAGTGATCCTACACCTTTTGGTCAGGACCCCACAGGTTTCATATTACAGCATTTTAAGTCCAGGAATCATCTTTCGGCAAAGCAGACAAAATTAAGGGTCAAGAATCTACTGCTTGAACATATACAAGCCAGTCTATATTGAAGCCCAAGATAGAAAGAGAGATAATAGGAAAACAGTCAGTTAGTGCTAAGTGTGTGATGGTAAAAGTTTCATTGTCAGATGGATACTACGCAGCCAACCAAAGTTGAGAACATAGAGTGTAGTCTATCCTATGCTACTGTCTGCAGTGCCAGTGGAACTCTAAATCTACCTGTGTTCTATGGTCCTAGTTAACATTTTGCATAGACCTAATAATAATTTTATGGTTGCTCAGAGCAAATCTAATGGTCCCTGAAAACTTATTTAATATTAGGAAGGGAAGCAATTGTTTGAAAACAGTATTTACCCAAAAGACTAGAATGACTCATTAGATACATTTGTATGTGGGCTTTTTTTAACTTTACAGTGCATTATTGAAAATAAATATAAAATTTAACAGCTCTCCTGAAACCACTTAATCCATCATATACTTTCTCTGTACAGTTCTGTGGTTTACTGTTGTGAAAGCACAAAAAAAAGCTCCGCAGAGCAAAATACAATTCTTATTAACTACAGTTACTGTTTCCAGTAAAACATATTGATAAAAATATCGCAGGCTTTTGAGTTAGCCTCAGGATTATGAGTTTTTCAAACTCTTTTAAAATTACTACTATATATTTTACACCAACCATTTGCTGAATTTGATTTCTCTTAAATCAGACCAATGTTTGTGATATAGCAGAAATGTGAAGAAGTAAAAAATGTATATTCAGTACAGGAGTAGGAAGTTTACAACACTTTTGCAAACTAAACCCTTTTATATCTCCTAATAAAGAGTTAGATAAGGCAATATATTAATTGACTAACTGTTCTAAGCTTCTATTAAGAGGATACTTCTATGAGTGCACTCACAGAATAACTTGTGCACTGGGCTCTAAAGCCAACGGGCTGGTTCTGCTATATATATACTCTACCTTAAGATAACTAAGAAAGCAGTAAAAAAAAAAAAAGTAAAGTTATAATATTTTGCACTATTTATATTTATCACAGACGAGCGACTAATTAATCAGGGGATCATTTTTGAAATTAGATATTTTGATAATTTTGCAACCTGATTTTTCATAGATGCAGAGCATCCATAAATCTAGTATAGACACAGTAGTCATACAACATTGTTATTAGCCATTAGAAAACAAAACAATAACACAACAACAACAAAACAATAAAAAACTCTCTGAACCACCCCATTCCCCCCGCCCGCCCGCCCCCAAAAAAAAAAACCAAAAACAAGCACCCAAAAGCAAGCAAACAAACAAACAAAAAAGAACAGGGAAAAAAATGGGCAATTACTCCTTTGGTGTTTGACAATAATTTAAATTTAAGGAAATGAAAATTGAAATATCTAACTACTTAGGATGAAACATACAGGATACTCATAGATAACAATGAAATACTTAAGATGTTGCTCACTGCTGAACACTTATGCTACATTTCATTGTGAAATTGTTAGCTTTTTGGATATTAGGTGCAAAAAAGTGCAAAGAATGTTCAGTCAACTGTTACAGTACCACATTACAAAAAGTATTTTCTAGGCCACAAAGGCCACAGCTGATATAATTTGTATTAAGATAAATGTATACACAAAATAGCTTTTCAATCTCCATATACATATCTACGTATCTATATCAGCATCACAAAACCACTGGGAAAATGATCTAGGCCATAAATCTTGTATTTTAAATATTAGACATCTAGAGAGAATAGAGAAATGAAATTCTGCAAGGTAGCTCTGTATGTATGGTGATGAAAATACAACCTTGAACAGGAAGGATCAGTATTTAGCAACCAACCCTCCCTGGGAAATGCATTTCTCTCTAGAGGACATGGATAGCAACTTTGAACAGATGTTTGAAACTTTGAAAAAACTTCAGTTGGAGCCATTATTGTCAGTGCTTTTAATAATAAATAAGGAATACCTGAAAGCTCTATTTGTTTATTTGGCTTTCTTTTTTACGTGTATGAAATCATTTTGAATTACTCCTTTTTGTTGCCTTAAAAAAATAAATCTAAAATGTTAAGAACACCCTTCTCAGCATCTCCAGAGCAGTCAAAATGTTTCAAGGCATAACTGACTGTTATAGGGATCAGTTAAAGGAATGGAGGTAGCCGGATCTTTATTAATTCATTTTGTGTCAATCAGGCCAAACTAACCAACGCCAAGGTGTTCTTTGCTCCAAAGACCCTGCTCCCTTCTTAATCAGATTAATTTCAACAAATTTTTCCATTCTCATAAAAAAATCTTTCATTTTTCTCATGTATGACAGTTCCATAAAAATGCTGATTTGCAAAAATACTATCCTCACATGTATCTCTAAATCTTACAAAGAAAAAATCACTACTCCAACATTTTTCTAGTTGCAGTTCAGCTTTCAAAATCTAAGGTCCAACCAAGCAGTCGTTTCTATGCTCTTAATAATAAATAAGCAAATAAATAAATAAATAAATAAATAAGTAGACTGAAGTTAGAATGTTAAAAAAAGTTAAATCTAGAAATTAATATTCAGTTCTCTTCAAGTTTTTATATCAGCTCACTCAGCTGATGACTTCTTGTAGTTTCTTTCCATGTGTATTCCAATAAATGAATTGCATTGTTTATGAAATTATTACATTTCAATTACTTTTTCCACATATTTATACAAAGCACAACTCAAATTCATTTTGGACATCTAATTTGAGGTAACAAGTGAGGGACCAGAGACACGAGCTATGTATTCAGTTAAAAGTACGTCAAACAAGTCTCACACTGTCATACTAAATCAAGAAACATAAAGAAGTTTTTTTGTAACCACAGCTTTTGTTTATGTTTTTGAATGCCTAAAATTCATAAAGTAGTTTATGTTACATCCGAGCATATATTCACACCTACAGTTTGGCCTGATTAAAGACTGAATATGGGATGCAAAATGCACACAGCAAACAGGCTCTACTGAAGTGCCAGATACATTGGCTTGGGAGACCCTTCCATTTCTGTGGCGCTACAGCGACCCCCACAGAAGTCCACATAGACACATTTACAGTCCATAATGACACACCCACATCTGTTGTTCAGTGTCACGCAGAGCTAGTGACACTGAAGAAAAACTGCTATCAAATACAGCTGCTGGCCTCGGTGCACATGGTAGCTATGCCAGACAGTTTAATGAGTTCCTGTAGGTGCAGCAGGCATCCTGATTGCTGGAATATTATAACTGCATAGATCCAGTCACGGGACCTCTTCCATAAAGGCTGAACTAAGACCCAGTGAAGCCTGTAAGGTCCTACTCAGCCAATGTGGCTTCAGAGGATATTTGATCAGTGTTTCCACCTTGTTGAAAGAAAGAACTTCAAATAGTCAAAATGTGACAGTTATTACTGCTGTTTTCTTTTTCTTTTTCTTTTTCTTTTTCTTTTCCTTTTTCTTTTCCTTTTCCTTTTCCTTTTCCTTTTCCTTTTTCTTTTTCCTCTTTTTCTTCTTTTTCTTCTTCTTCTGCTTCTTCTTCTTCTTCTGCTCCTTATTATTTCTTTGTTTCTATCTCCTTCTCTATTTCTCTCTCACTTCCTTTCTTTCTTTATTTCTTTCTTTTCATGCAGTGTTCAGCTTGAAGTGTTATCTTGAGAAGCCATATAAAATTTAGTTCAATTTAGATGAGATTTACAAGAGCCCTATATGACTATTTGCTCTTTCTCAGAAGAATTAAGCATCCAAATCTGTAGTGGTTTTGAATTGCTTTAGGGAGTGTTCTTTTTGATTTCTATATCTATTCAAATATATTGGATCTGATACTGGGTATGTACCAGAGAGAAAACAGGTGAGTGAATTTTTTGAGAAAGGATTATATTTGGCTCAAGTCAACTTCATTCACAAGGTAAGAAATTATTATAAACTGTAATATAGGACTTAGAATAGGAAAAAATGCATTTTAATACAAAAATATGGATGCAGTTCATCTGTGGAATCCAAACCTGTTTATGTAGATGTGAGTTACATGGGAGCACTGGATACTGAACCTGATGAATCCGCTCTTGTTCCCTAGGGTGTAAGTGGTGGTTTTGGTGATGAACAAGATCCCTGGCTATCAAAACTGGTTGCTCGGCCAGGTAACTGCAAGAAAAACAATTTGCAGATGTAAGATCAAAATCTAAGGAATTTTAAAGGTTTTAATGTTACAGTGCTGTAACATGCGGTATCCTCATGAAAATGTTTGAAATGGCAGATATAATAAGCAATAAACCTAAGCAACCAGACATAGGTTGTGCAGAGGGTATTATAGCAGTGTGATACAACAATGATGTGCTGATCTTCATGATTCATAGAAGCACATAAATGGGAGAGAGAAAATAACCCTAAACATGCAATACACTCGGAGGAGAAAATTGTGCTACTTCTTACCTCTACCAAAGGATGCCAGTGAGTTATTGGTTTACGTGGGTAAGCCAACATTTCGTTCCAGTGATCTCTTCCAAGCCCTTCAGCATCTATTCCTGTCCGGCATACTCCAATGACCTCATTGTGCCCTACGCTGAGAATTGTAAAGAAAGATAATTATTTTTGAATGCAGTTTTAATAACATTTGATGTATAATTCAGGTTACTAGTTTCATGCAACATAGAATATATGTCCAAGATTTTCCTGGTATTTATTACAGATATTAGTTTTAGTGGATTTGTGGCAATAAGAAATTCTGTAATACCATCCAAAACCTTCAGCCACTCCCAGACTATTTCTAGGAGCTATAAAAACAGTGATGAAGACTTAACCTTTGCCATTACAATTTTACAGACCAAAACACTCAAGGAGAGCATGCTCAAGTTTTATTGTACAGGAAGGTGATGGAAGATGCCAGAGGATAAATTCTTGCTCCAGATGTTTCAGATGTAATTCACACTACAAATCCTAGATCTAATTAATATCATTGGAATTTCTGCTAAAAATGTGAAAGACAAGGTGTTATAGCAGTGAAAGGTTTACCTTAGTATTTCAGAATTCCCAGCAGTGTCATAGACTTGCTGAGGGAACCCAGAAAGTCCTTTTCCTTACCTCCCTACAAGTACCTGAGACTAACATTTCCTACTTTCCATTTAGTCAACGTTTTGAAGGGAGCAGATGGAGAATACTGGAGGAGCACAAGTTGCTCTACATTTCTCCCCCCAGTGGTGTTGCAGTGTCCCTTTCACATCTGAACCTCTTCCTAACAGAATTTATAGAAGCAGAATCAAATCTGATGGTGAGCAAAGATAATCTGACGTTTTGTACAAGTAAACTGGACTTTCACTGTTTATTTGCCCTGCAATCTCAAGAGCTCATTATTAATAGCCCTGGAAGGAAGCAGACTTGGATCAGACACAGTACTGTCAGTCACAGTCTAGTTTACTTTGCAATATTTGAGTAGGAGTCTCCTCAATTCTCAGTAAGGATACAGATTAGTTGAAGCTAAGATATGTAATCAGTGAGGGATGAACTGAAGGATTCATCCAAATAATTAATTGTGGCTTAATTCAATGAGGCAATTAGGTACCTAACTCTTTCTTAGGCATCTAAACTTCCATTGATTTTAGATACCTGGCATTTAAATAGAAACTGGAGGCACAAGTGTCTTTTAAACCAGGAGCCACAACTGACAAACTTTTACATTGTATAGCATCTAGACAGGGACAAAAATGCATGTCACTGCTAGAGGCAGGCAAGGAGTTCTATCCAAGCTTCTTCCTTACCACAGACATCATGGACTGAGTTCTAAAAGTAGTGGAAGCTTAAAACCTCTTCAGGAAAGGCACAAATTATTTTTTGTGACACTGACTTACTCGAAAGTTCAGGGAGGTGGAAATCAGTTGCTTGCAATGATCAGATAATGTCTAACTGAAGATTAATGTTTGGAGAGAAAACATTGCTTACCGATCGTAATCCATCACTGCAATTGAGAGGCTGACCTGGTCCACATTCTCTGGAGGGATATCAAAGATGATGGCCTCGTTATAAACGGGATTGAGTGTATTCTTCTTTGTGGTTGTTTTCCGCTTTTTCAGTCTTCGACCCTCACACATCAGTGACACTTTGACATATGGATCTAAGTAACAGACAATAAGTTGTGTGTACTTGGAGTCAAAGCCATTCATACATGTAGCATATATACAATATTTCTGTAGGTATGTCATACTTATAAGACATAAAATGCAATATCTTTAGGTGACCTTGGGAATCCATGCTTCCAATGCGCTGTCAATGCGATGGAAAGGTATAAACTTTCTGAATGGATGTGCCAAACACCACACCAAAGATAGCAGATATGAAGGCTGCCCCAAAAGTAATTTCTCCTATTTTATTATGTTGGGCCTTGACGTCAGAGACAGACGTTGGTGGTATGGCAGCAGAGATTGAACCTTCCTGACAATATCCTACTGCATTTTGTTGCTGTGCAACAGATAGCAGCAGAGAGGAAGGCTGGCAAAATGGCATCTGACACGGAAGTGTGTAAGAAACAACGGTGCTTTATTGTGAATTCCATGCAGAAAAAAACCACACCCATTGAAATACATCAGTACTTGCTGAACATTTACGAAGACCAAACATCAGATGTGAGAACAGTGAGGAAGTAGGAGGTGCATTTCAGCAGTGATGCTGTTACAGCAGCTATGAAACTGTGGGTGACTTCTGCTGGTGCAGATATTTATAAGCATGGAATGGAGGCTCTTTTTCATTGTTGACAAATGAGCTAATGGTGGAGACTATATTGAAAAATAGCGTTTTGTAACTGAGAATTTGCTCTATCAAATAGTGTTATTGTGATCTTCGTAGCTATTGTAGTTTCCATGGAAATAAATAGGAGGCTGTACTCTCAGTGTGACATACATAGGTGCTACGCTCATTCTGATGCTACTTCCATTCAGAGCCATGCTAAACATGCAGTAAAAGAAGAGGTTGTTTTTGTCTCTTTTCTGAGTAAGCTCTGCTATGCTGCTTAAAAAAGAAGTAGATTCACCTGATGCACCAGTTATATCCATTGCTTTGAGATTTCTGCATTTGATGACTGTTAATGTCATTCTCCCCGCAGTAGGCAAATAACAAAGGGAAAACATGATCTCACCCAAATCTATGCTTTCCTGGAAGAGAAAAGCAATTATTAGAAATCTAATCACACTGCCAACAATTCAGTTCATACCATGCTGAAATTCAGAAATATTTTTACCATGAAAAGAAACATCTTTTGATATGAATGAAGAGAACCAGAAAACAAGAATATTTGGAGCATACAGAAAGAGTACCAATAGGATAATATTTCAATGACAGGATCTAGAGTTACTAAATGGAGAATTTAAATCAAAAGCATAGCCAATTTTTTCTGGAATTCCTGGCATTCATGTTGAATTCACAGTTAGAAAAGCTGCTGAATGTAGAATTTCACACTTTTCTTTTGGAAAAAACTCAGATTGCATTATACCCAGTATAAAGAAATCAAGTGGGATATTTAGATCACTTAGATTTCCTTGCATTTTAGCCACTGAAATGAATGCAGCAGTTTTATTCATTCACATATATAGGTATCTGAAAGGTTCATCCTGTCTGAGAGCTTCAAAAAAATGAATGTGCTTCTAAATATTACTAGCCTTATTGATTTTACTCTGTTCAGTGGATGACTTTGTTTCAGAAGAAGATAAAGCAAAGGAGTAGCACCTCAAACTTTCCTGCCTCAAGGACAACTTCCAGGAGGATCTTACACTAGGACAGATAGAAAAGAAAGGATCTTGATGATACTCATGGAGAAATAGTATCTATGCTGTGACAATGTGTTGTAAATTAAAAAAAAATGCTATATAGTTCAGATACAACAACATTTGATGAATGGGATCTAAGGAAGAGAGTTTTTTTAATTTTTTTTTTCTTAATTATACACAAGAACATATAATTTCCTAATATCATGCAAGTTTAGCTCTTCAGATATTAGTTATATTCTGAATTATTCCTGTTCTTTTAAGATAGTAAATAACTTCCTACTCCTCCTCCTCAAACAAGCAAACATAATTAACCCTACTACAGCACGCTAAGAACAAGTCAGGATTTTTAAATAATAGCTTGTAAAGATCTTGTAAGGCTGTCAGCTCAGTAGGGCAGCAATTCTCAAGCATGCTCGTATGATCTTGAAGAATTATTTTTAACTTCACTAAAATGCTTATTTTTAATTCACAGCTTTAGTATTTTATCTGTCAGACCAGCAACTACCCTGAGATTACAAATTTGAGTTGAGCTGGATTTATGTTGCAGCTGATCTAACATCAGAAGGTGAGCATGATATATTTTTAAATGATGCATGGTGAAATAATTGCTGCTGGGTAGATGACAAACATGTTGCTTATAGCTGTGAGTCAGAGTGAGGATTTTTCACATTGTTCAGCTATATATATGAAGTCTTACTAGCTTCCCTTGGGTTAATGCTTAAACCTGAAATAGATACTTCAAATCTTTCTTGAATAAAGATGGACTTAATCACATGCATAGGTAGTTTTCATTCTTTTTTGTCCTGCACTGTGAACTCTAGATAGAAGAATGTAATTTTAAAATAGCTTTAAAATCTCTGTTGCATTGTTAATAAAAGATTGACTTTTGTGTAGGTTGGTCAGTTCACAAGTTCAGTCATTTTGCTGTGATTCTGTTCTAAGTATTAAGAGTGCTGTGCATGTGTACCCATGCATTCTCCATGGGTATATTTCATGCTTGTCAGGGTTTCTCAGGATTTCAAAATTATTTAGCTCATCCAGTCTACATAATAGAGTCATTTTGTACCCACCTTTGTCCAGTTTCTTACTTAGCCACACAGACTGCACAATTTTGTACCACAGAATACCCACACAGATAGTGAACAAATTCACTTTTTTTAATTGCAAAAAAACTTGAACAAATGAAGTGTAATCCTTTTCAATTATTTATTAAAGTGATAGTTGCCCTGTGTTATACTTAACAGGTTTGTCATGTGTGGAATCCGTGTTTTAAACACAGCTTCTGTTGCTACCATTACTTTCTGAATTCAGACTGATCACTGGTCCTCATATACGTATGTGAAAGACATCTCATCCTTTTCTTTGAAAAGAAAATGCACTGCCCTCACATTCAGCTATTCAAAGTGTGAAGCCTGAGTTGAGGGAGGTGACGAGGATGGGTTCGGTCATGGAGCACAGTGAGAAGATCATGAAAAAGACTAAGAGGTCATAAATTCTTCCTCCAGAGAGTTGATTTGTGTAGGTGAATAGGGAGAAAATAATTTTTTTCCAAGACGGGAGAATGTACTTGAATCTTCTATTATTACATTCTGAAGATAAATTGTATACACTCAGAAATTTGAGTGAGATTAAATGATAAACAACAGTTCATACAGGACTATTTACCGTAACTTAAGTGTTTTTTAAAAATGCACAGCTTAAAACACTTGCAAAGCTCCATGTGGCGGTTAATCTATTAATGGTGATTGATCTATTAATCTATCTATTAATCTAAGACTCACGAAAACCATCAGTGCTGAACAAAATGACAACGACTTGATACTAATGCTCAGCCCTTTTTCTTTCCTTTCTAAACCTTGTGTACTGAATACATATGTTATCTCAGAAAAGAACTTGTAAAATTTCCTGCAATCAAACATAGTGTTTTTGACCACAAAATGATAAGCAACATGCCTAATGCAACATAATGCCTGGATAATGAATGAGGGTGAGGTTTTCAGCCCACACGTCAGGCCATGAAAAGGGGTGTATTGAAGTTACCAGAGCTCTGTTATACTCTTCAGTTTGAGGTAATAAGGGATAAGCTTTTCCCAGGGAAAAGGCTCTCTACTATTCCACTCTTTATTCAGGCATCCCTTGAGACCTATGATCTATATCTGGGGAAAAGGTGGCTCACTTCACCCTGAAATATCTGATTTTCATATGGCAGAATAATACTCATGCTACTATCTGTGCTATGAAAATAGGTAAATTCTGCGGTAAGATAGAACACATACTATTTCAGATAATCACCCTTGTCTATGTCAAAGACATTTATCGGCATATTGTCATAAGATCAGAAAGCTAGAAATAAAATCAGTAGCTACACTGCACTGATCTGCAGACACCACGTAACTATCCTGGTAAAGAGAACCAGCTGTGATAGACTATTACCAGCGGTTAGGAGTTCCCATGGTCCTCTGAGGTCAAATACAAATCCTTTCAGAATCCTTTGAAACAATTCTGATGCTTTTCTCCTTTTGATTTGATACTAGTTGCAGCATTTGCACATTTACTTATTTATTTACTTATTAATCTATTGTGGTGTCTTTTTGATTAGCAAGGAATTGAAATTCCTAATATTTTTACTAAATTTCTGTTCTGAATATCTGTTAAGACTGGTAGTCTTTCTTCACACTTGTGTGAATTCTTATGGTTATATTTTATGGTTATAACTGTAAAAGTTATGTTAAGACCTCTAGAAACTATCAGGCAACTGAAAACTAAGATGTTAAAAGTAATATAACTAAAATACATATTCTTTGGAACTCAGGGTGAAGCCCAAGAATCTTGAACTTTTAAATTTTCTTTTGAAAGGTTAAGAATAAAATTACATATATATACATAAGCATCAGAGATTGGGCACCACATGAAATGGCTGGGATATCACACATTTTATTTTGTTTTTCATAACTTGTGTGCTAGAGGGCCATGAATTTGGAGATGAATACACAAGTTCAGACATAGGTAATGAACAAAGTAAGTCAACATATAAACTTCTTCTGAAAGCCTTTGTCTATCAAACTGACTATCATGAGTAACATTTTTGAACACCTTGGGTACTTAAGTATTATTTCTTTTAATTGAGATATAAAAATAGGATTTAAATTACTTCAGAATCCCATTGCTCTAGAAAATTTGTATTCCTCTCACTGTATAATACACTAGGTAATTAAGTTCACACAATTCATTTGACAGGAACCCTTTAGTTTGAGTAAATCTACGAAAGCTGAGGTACAGACAACATCATTAACTACATCTGCACTGCAATCCACTTCAAAAAACCATGATTCAGAGCACACAGGCCTGGAACCAGCAGCAACATCTCATGCAAATCTGAACTATCCTTCAGACTGCTTTACATGTACCACATATTCTCCTATAACTTTTGTTATGGCAGTACCTATGTAACTCTCATGACATTTTCTCTCTTTTCTTGGCCCATTTTGATATTTTTTTCTTTTTAAACTATACTCAGATTTTAATTAACAGCAGTTATGCAGATTCTTGTAATCATTATCCGCCCCATCAAATTACAGTAAGAGGTACAAAACCCAATAAGCAAAGAATAAAAACTACCAGCATCAAGCACAGCTGCACTAATACAGAAAGAAGCATTTGATGGTACTGTATATCTTTTTTTTTCTTTTTTTTTTTTCTTCCCCATTTATTTTCCTTTTGTGTATGGAAGACATAATAGACAACTAAGGAACTGGAACGGTGGTAAGCACTACACCAGTTTCAGTTATTCTTATGGCTCCCAATCTATCTATTCAATCCATTTTCTGTTACAGCAGTGCTAGAACAAAACAGAGGAAACAGACTATAAGTATGTCTGTTAGCTACACAGATTAATTTGATTTTTTAGATACAGAATGTAAATTCTTTTTTGAATACCATAATTATCATCCTACAAAAGCAACCACCCCATAGTGGATATGCTAACCAGTTACCAAGTATCTGTACACATTCATTGTTCTATGTCTGCTTGGGATATCAGCCCAGAGGTTGGCAAAGTTGGACAAAAAATCATTCTTATTCTATTACTTTGTCATCAGACCCACCAGAGAGCAGTACTCACATCTTCACACTTAGTTCTATGCAAGCATTTCTACAGAAATGCTCCCCAGTTATGTCATATAAAGAGTAGAGCATTGTAAAGAGAAGTTTGAAACCTTTGCAGAGGAGCACAAATTAGCCCAATCAAGTTTTTTAGTTGTTGCTGGACAAAATTCTGCTGTTGCTCATAGAATCGTAGAATAGCTCAGGTTGGAAAAGACTTTAAAGATCATCGAGTCTAACCAAAATTAATCATTCTGATTAATTTGTCCAGTCTTGACATTAAATTT